CAGAAGTTAAGGAAGGAGAAGAACTTTCGGATGGGATGGGATGGGATAGGATAGGATAGGAGATCATATAGTTAAGGATGGAGAAGAAACTTGGGATGTAGAATGAAGTTAAGGAAGCAGAAGAAGTTAAGGAGGATGGAGAAGAAGTTAGGGAAGGAGAAAAAGTTAAGAATGAAGAACAAGTTAGGGAAGGAGAAGAAGTTAAGGATGGAGAACAAGTTAGGGAAGGAGAAGAAGAAGTTAAGGATGGAGAAGTAGTTTGGGATGGGGAAGAAGTGAAGGAAGGAGAAGAAGTTAAAGAAGAAGAAGAAGAAGTTTTGGATGGAGAAGAAGTTAAGGGTAAAGAAGAAAGTATGGATGGGGAAGAAGTTTGGGATGGAGAAGAAGTTTGGGATGGAGGAGAAGTTTGGAAGGAAGAAGAATACTAAGTATGGAGAAGAAATTAAGGAAGAAGAGTTTAGTTAAGGAAGGAGAAGAAGAAGAAGTTAAGAAGTTTTGGATGGAGAAGAAGTTCGGATGGGATGGGATGGGATAGGATAGGATAGGAGATCATATAGTTAAGGATGGAGAAGAAACTTGGGATGTAGAATGAAGTTAAGGAAGCAGAAGAAGTTAAGGAGGATGGAGAAGAAGTTAGGGAAGGAGAAAAAGTTAAGAATGAAGAACAAGTTAGGGAAGGAGAAGAAGTTAAGGATGGAGAACAAGTTAGGGAAGGAGAAGAAGAAGTTAAGGATGGAGAAGTAGTTTGGGATGGGGAAGAAGTGAAGGAAGGAGAAGAAGAAGAAGTTTTGGATGGAGAAGAAGTTAAGGGTAAAGAAGAAAGTATGGATGGGGAAGAAGTTTGGGATGGAGAAGAAGTTTGGAATGGAGAAGAATCTACTAAGTATGGAGAAGAAATTAAGGAAGAAGAAGTTAAGGAAGGAGAAGAACTTTCGGATGGGATGGGATGGGATAGGATAGGATAGGAGATCATATAGTTAAGGATGGAGAAGAAACTTGGGATGTAGAACGAAGTTAAGGAGGATGGAGAAGAAGTTAGGGAAGGAGAAAAAGTTAAGGATGGAGAACAAGTTAGGGAAGGAGAAGAAGAAGTTAAGGATGGAGAAGTAGTTTGGGATGGGGAAGAAGTGAAGGAAGGAGAAGAAGTTAAGGAAGAAGAAGAAGAAGAAGTTTAGATGGAGAAGAAGTTAAGGGTAAAGAAGAAAGCATGGATGGGAAAAAGTTTGGGATGGAGAAGAAGTTTGGGATGGAGGAGAAGTTTGGAATGGAGGAGAAGAACTGAAGTATGGAGAAGAAATTAAGGAAGAAGAAGTTTAGGAAGAAGACTAAGCCAAGGAAGAAGAAGTTTTGGATGGAGAAGAAGTTAAGGATAAAGAAGAAAGTATGGATGGGGAAGAAGTTTGGGATGGAGAAGAAGTTTGGAATGGAGAAGAATCTACTAAGTATGGAGAAGAAATTAAGGAAGAAGAAGTTAAGGAGAAGAACTTTCAGATGGGATGGGATAGGATAGGATAGGAGATCATATAGTTAAGGATGGAGAAGAAACTTGGGATGTAGAATGAAGTTAAGGAAGCAGAAGAAGTTAAGGAGGATGGAGAAGAAGTTAGGGAAGGAGAAAAAGTTAAGAATGAAGAACAAGTTAGGGAAGGAGAAGAAGTTAAGGATGGAGAAGAAGTTAGGGAAGGAGAAGAAGAAGTTAAGGATGGAGAAGTAGTTTGGGATGGGGAAGAAGTGAAGGAAGGAGAAGAAGTTAAGGAAGAAGAAGAAGAAGAAGAAGTTTTGGATGGAGAAGAAGTTAAGGGTAAAGAAGAAAGCATGGATGGGGAAGAAGTTTGGGATGGAGAAGAAGTTTGGGATGGAGGAGAAGTTTGGAATGGAGGAGAAGAACCGAAGTATGGAGAAGAAATTAAGGAAGAAGAAGTTTAGGAAGGAGACGAAGTCAAGGAAGAAGAAGTTTTGGATGGAGAAGAAGTTAAGGATAAAGAAGAAAGTATGGATCGGGAAGAAGTTTGGGATGGAGAAGAAGTTTGGAATGGAGAAGAATCTATTGGAATGGAGAAGAATATACTAAGTATGGAGAAGAAATTAAGGAAGAAGAACTTAAGGAAAGAGAAGAACTTTTGGATGGGATGGGATGAGATAGGATAGGATAGGAGATCATATAGTTAAGGATGGAGAAGAAACTTGGGATGTAGAATGAAGTTAAGGAAGCAGAAGAAGTTAAGGAGGATGGAGAAGAAGTTAGGGAAGGAGAAAAAGTTAAGAATGAAGAACAAGTTAGGGAAGGAGAAGAAGTTAAGGATGGGGAACAAGTTAGGGAAGGAGAAGAAGAAGTTAAGGATGGAGAAGTAGTTTGGGATGGAGGAGAAGTTTGGAATGGAGGAGAAGAACAGAATTATGGAGAAGAAATTATCGAAGAAGAAGTTTAGGAAGGAGACGAAGTCAAGGAAGAAGAAGATTTGGATGGAGAAGAAGTTAAGGATAAAGAAGAAAGTATGGATGGGGAAGAAGTTTGGGATGGAGAAGAAGTTTGGAATGGAGAAGAATCTACTAAGTATGGAGAAGAAATTAAGGAAGAAGAAGTTAAGGAAGGAGAAGAACTTTCGGATGGGATGGGATGGGATAGGATAGGATAGGAGATTATATAGTTAAGGATGGAGAAGAAACTTGGGATGTAGAATGAAGTTAAGGAAGCAGAAGAAGTTAAGGAGGATGGAGAAGAAGTTAGGGAAGGAGAAAAAGTTAAGAATGAAGAACAAGTTAGGGAAGGAGAAGAAGTTAAGGATGGAGAACAAGTTAGGGAAGGAGAGGAAGAAGTTAAGGATAGGAGAAGTAGTTTGGGATGGGGAAGAAGTGAAGGAAGGAGAAGAAGTTAAGGAAGAAGAAGAAGAAGAAGTTATGGATGGAGAAGAAGTTAAGGGTAAAGAAGAAAGTATGGATGGGGAAGAAGTTTGGGATGGAGAAGAAGTTAGGGATGGAGAAGAAGTTTGGGATGGAGGAGAAGTTTGGAATGGAGGAAAAGAACCGAAGTATGGAGAAGAAATTAAGGAAGAAGAAGTTTAGGAAGGAGACAAAGTAAAGGAAGAAGAAGTTTTGGATGGAGAAGAAGTTAAGGATAAAGAAGAAAGTATGGATGGGGAAGAAGTTTGGGATGGAGAAGAAGTTTGGAATGGAGAAGAATCTACTAAGTATGGAGAAGAAATTAAGGAAGAAGAAGTTAAGGAAGGAGAAGAACTTTCGGATGGGATGGGATGGGATAGGATAGGATAGGAGATCATATAGTTAAGGATGGAGAAGAAACTTGGGATGTAGAATGAAGTTAAGGAAGCAGAAGAAGTTAAGGAGGATGGAGAAGAAGTTAGGGAAGGAGAAAAAGTTAAGAATGAAGAACAAGTTAGGGAAGGAGAAGAAGTTAAGGATGGAGAACAAGTTAGGGAAGGAGAAGAAGAAGTTAAGGATGGAGAAGAAGTTTGGGATGGAGGAGAAGTTTGGAATGGAGGAGAAGAACCGAAGTATGGAGAAGAAATTAAGGAAGAAGAAGTTTAGGAAGGAGACGAAGTCAAGGAAGAAGAAGTTTTGGATGGAGAAGAAGTTAAGGATAAAGAAGAAAGTATGGATGGGGAAGAAGTTTGGGATGGAGAAGAAGTTTGGAATGGAGAAGAATCTACTAAGTATGGAGAAGAAATTAAGGAAGAAGAAGTTAAGGAAGGAGAAGAACTTTCGGATGGGATGGGATGGGATAGGATAGGATAGGAGATCATATAGTTAAGGATGGAGAAGAAACTTGGGATGTAGAATGAAGTTAAGGAAGTAGAGGAAGTTAAGGAGGATAGAGAAGAAGTTAGGGAAGGAGAAAAAGTTAAGAATGAAGAACAAGTTAGGGAAGGAGAAGAAGTTAAGGATGGAGTACAAGTTAGGGAAGGAGAAGAAGTTAAGGATGAAGAATAGTTAAGGAAGGAGAAGAAGAAGTTAAGCATGGAGAAGTAGTTTGGGATGGGGAAGAAGTGAAGGAAGGAGAAGAAGTTAAGAAAGAAGAAGAAGAAGAAGAAGAAGAAGAAGAAGAAGAAGAAGTTTTGGATGGAGAAGAAGTTAAGGGTAAAGAAGAAAGTATGGATGGGGAAGAAGTTTGGGATGGGAAGAAGTTTGGGAGAAGAAGTTTGGGATGAAGGAGAAGTTTGGAATGGAGGAGAAGAGCTGAAGTATGGAGAAGAAATTAAGGAAGAAGAAGTTTAGGAAGGAGACGAAGTCAAGGAAGAAGAAGTTTTGGATGGAGAAGAAGTTAAGGATAATGAAGAAAGTATGGATGGGGAAGAAGTTTGGGATGATGAAGAAGTTTTGAATGGAGAAGAATCTACTAAGTATGGAGAAGAAATTAAGGAAGAAGAAGTTAAGGAGAAGATCTTTCGGATGAGATGGGATGGGATAGGATAGGATAGGACATCGTATAGTTAAGGATGGAGAAGAAACTTGCGATGTAGAATGAAGTTAAGGAAGCAAAAGAAGTTAAGGAGGATGGAGAAGAAGTTAGGGAAGGAGAAAAAGTTAAGAATAAAGAACAAGTTAGGGAAGGAGAAGAATTTAAGGATGGAGAAGAAGTTAGGGAAGGAGAAGAAGAAGTTAAGGATGGAGAAGTAGTTTGGGATGGGGAAGAAGTGAAGGAAGGAGAAGAAGTTAAGGAAGAAGAAGAAGAAGAAGAAGAAGTTTGGATGGAGAAGAAGTTAAAGGTAAAGAAGAAAGTATGGATGGGGAAGAAGTTTGGAACGGAGAAGAAGTTAAGGAAGGAGAAGAAGTTTGGGATGGAGGAGAAGTTTGGAATGGAGGAGAAGAACCGAAATATGGAGAAGAAATTAAGGAAGAAGAAGTTTAAGAAGAAGATGAAGTCAAGGAAGAAGAAGTTTTAGATGGAGAAGAAGTTAAGGATAAAGAAGAAAGTATGCATGGGGAAGAAGTTTGGGATGGAGAAGAAGTTTGGAATGGAGAAGAATCTATTGGAATGGAGAAGAATCTACTAAGTATTGAGAAGAAATTAAGGAAGAAAAAGCTAAGGAAGGAGAAGAACTTTCGGATGGGATGGGATGGGACAGGATAGGATAGGAGATCATATAGTTAAGGATGGAGAAGAAACTTGGGATGTAGAATGAAGTTAAGGAAGCAGAAGAAGTTAAGGAGGATGGACAAGAGTTTAGGGAAGGAGAAAAAGTTAAGAATGAAGAACAAGTTAGGGAAGGAGAAGGAGTTAAGGATGGAGAACAAGTTAGGGAAGGAGAAGAAGAAGTTAAGGATGGAGAAGTAGTTTGGGATGTGGAAGAAGTGAAGCAAGGAGAAGAATTTAAGGAAGAAGAAGAAGAAGAAGTTTTGGATGGAGAAGAAGTTAAGGGTAAAGAAGAAAGTATGGATGGGGAAGAAGGTTGGGATGGAGAAGAAGTTAAGGATGGAGAAGAAGTTTGGGATGGAGGAGAAGTTTGGAATGGAGGAGAAGAACAGAAGTATGGAGAAGAAATAAAGGAAGAAGAAGTTTAGGAAGGAGACGAAGTCAAGGAAGAAGAAGTTTTGGATGGAGAAGAAGTTAAGGATAAAGAAGAAAGTATGGATGGGGAAGAAGTTTGGGATGGAGAAGAAGTTTGGAATGGAGAAGAATCTACTAAGTATGGAGAAGAAATTAAGGAAGAAGAAGTTAAGGAAGGAGAAGAACTTTCGGATGGGATGGGATGGGATAGGATAGGATAGGAGATCATATAGTTAAGGATGGAGAAGAAACTTGCGATGTAAACTGAAGTTAAGGAAGCAGAAGAAGTTAAGGAGGATGGAGAAGAAGTTGGGGAAGGAGAAAAAGTTAAGAATGAAGAACAAGTTAGGGAAGGAGAAGAAGTTAAGGATGGAGAACAAGTTAGGGAAGGAGAAGAAGAAGTTAAAGATGGAGAAGTAGTTTGGGAAGGGGAAGAAGTGAAGCAAGGACAAGAAGTTAAGGAAGAAGAAGAAGAAGTTTTGGATGGAGAAGAAGTTAAGGGTAAAGAAGAAAGTATGGATGGGGAAGAAGTTTGGGATGGAGAAGAAGTTCGGGATGGAGGAGAAGTTTTGAATGGAGGAGAAGAACCTAAGTATGGAGAAGAAATTAAGGAAGAAGAAGTTTAGGAAGGAGACGAAGTCAAGGAAGAAGAAGTTTTGGATGGAGAAGAAGTTAAGGATAAAGATGAATGTATGGATGGGGAAGAAGTTTGGGATGGAGAAGAAGTTTGGAATGGAGAAGAATCTAATAAGTATGGAGAAGAAATTAAGGAAGAAGAAGTTAAGGAAGGAGAAGAACTTTCGGATGGGATGGGATGGGATAGGATAGGATAGGAGATCATATAGTTAAGGATGGAGAAGAAACTTTGGATGTAGAATGAAGTTAAGGAAGCAGAAGAAGTTGAGGAGGATGGAGAAGAAGTTAGGGAAGGAGAAAAAGTTTAGAATTTAGGGAAGGAGAAGAAGTTAAGGATGGAGAACAAGTTAGGGAAGGAGAAGAAGAAGTTAAGGATGGAGAAGTAGTTTGGGATGGGGAAGAAGTGAAGGAAGGAGAAGAAGTTAAGGAAGAAGAAGAAGAAGAAGAAGTTTTGGATGGAGAAGAAGTTTGGGATGGAGGAGAAGTTTGGAATGGAGGAGAAGAACCGAAGTATGGAGAAGAAATGAAGGAAGAAGAAGTTTAGGAAGGAGACGAAGTCAAGGAAGAAGAAGTTTTGGATGGAGAAGAAGTTAAGGATAAAGAAGAAAGTATGGATGGGGAAGAAGTTTGGGATGGAGAAGAAGTTTGGAATGGAGAAGAATCTACTAAGTATGGAGAAGAAATTAAGGAAGAAGAAGTTATGGAAGGAGAAGAACTTTCGGATGAGATGGGATGGGATAGGATAGGATAGGAGATCATATAGTTAAGGATGGAGAAGAAACTTTGGATGTAGAATGAAGTTAAGGAAGCAGAAGAAGTTGAGGAGGATGGAGAAGAAGTTAGGGAAGGAGAAAAAGTTTAGAATTTAGGGAAGGAGAAGAAGTTAAGGATGGAGAACAAGTTAGGGAAGGAGAAGAAGAAGTTAAGGATGGAGAAGTAGTTTGGGATGGGGAGGAAGTGAAGGAAGGAGAAGAAGTTAAGGTAGAAGAAGAAGAAGAAGTTTTGGATGGAGAAGAAGTTTGGGATGGAGGAGAAGTTTGGAATGGAGGAGAAGAACCGAAGTATGGAGAAGAAATGAAGGAAGAAGAAGTTTAGGAAGGAGACGAAGTCAAGGAAGAAGAAGTTTTGGATGGAGAAGAAGTTAAGGATAAAGAAGAAAGTATGGATGGGGAAGAAGTTTGGGATGGAGAAGAAGTTTGGAATGGAGAAGAATCTACTAAGTATGGAGAAGATATTAAGGAAGAAGAAGTTATGGAAGGAGAAGAACTTTCGGATGAGATGGGATGGGATAGGATAGGATAGGAGATCATATAGTTAAGGATGGAGAAGAAACTTGGGATGTAGAATGAAGTTAATGAAGCAGAAGAAGTTAAGGAGGATGGAGAAGAAGTTAGGGAAGGAGAAAAAGTTAAGAATGAAGAACAAGTTAGGGAAGGAGAAGAAGTTAAGGATGGAGAACAAGTTAGGGAAGGAGAAGAAGTTAAGGATGGAGAAGTAGTTTGGGATGGGGAAGAAGTGAATGAAGGAGAAGAAGTTAAGGAAGAAGAAGAAGAAGTTTGGATGGAGAAGAAGTTAAGGGTAAAGAAGAAAGTATGGATGGGGAAGAAGTTTGGGATGGAGAAGAAGTTAAGGATGGAGAAGAAGTTTGGGATGGAGGAGAAGTTTGGAATGGAGGAGAAGAACCGAAGTATGGAGAAGAAATTAAGGAAGAAGAAGTTTAGGAAGGAGACGAAGTCAAGGAAGAAGAAGTTTTGGATGGAGAAGAAGTTAAGGATAAAGAAGAAAGTATAGATGGGGAAGAAGTTTGGGATGGAGAAGAAGTTTGGAATGGAGAAGAATCTACTAAGTATGGAGAAGAAATTAAGGAAGAAGAAGTTAAGGAAGGAGAAGAAATTTTAACAAGTTTTTCTATTGGGGAATTTTTTTAATAAAAATTTCGACTGTATCTTTTATGCTCGCTTTTTTTATTTTTCGAGTAGTTTCGAGTAATATTCTTACATTTTAGGAATTTAGTTTTCGTAGTTACACTAGTAAGAAATTTCAAAAAAAAATTGTGTGGAATTTTTTAATAATAAAAAATCATTACACCCTTTCAAGTTCAGTTTTTCTTATTTTTATATTTGTTTTGACTAATAATTTTACATTTTAGGAATTTAGTTTTCGTAGTTACACCGGTAAAAAACTTTTACAAGTTTTTTTGTTAGGGAATATTTTTATTAAAAAATATTCAGTGCATCTGTTTCAAGATTACTATTTTATATTTTCTAGTAGTTTTTAGTAATATTCTTAGAATTTAGGAATTTAAGTTTTGTAGTCTGCACCGATCATAAATTTTTACATTTTTTTTGTGTGGGGAATTTATTTAACTAAAACTCCTTTATACTCATTAAATCTCCCTTTATTTTTTGTAGTAATATTGAGTAATATTCTTATATTTTACGAATTTCTTTTTTGTAGTTACACCTGTTAGAAATTTCTACAATTTCTTTTGTTGGGGAATTTGATTAATAAACGAGTTCCTCTACACTCATGAAAGTTCATTTTTTTATTTTTCTTGTAGTTTTGAGTAATATTTTTACATTTTTGGAATATTGTTTTCTTAGTTACATAAGTCTGAAATTTCTACAACTTTTTTTGTTGGAAAATTCTTTAATAAAAATAATGGATTACACTCTTTCAAACTCATTTTTTTTATAATTCTATTTGTTTTGACTAATAATTTTACATTTTAGGAATTTAGTTTTCGTAGTTAGACCGATCAGACATTTCTACGGGTTTTTTTGTTGGGGAATTCTTTTAATAAAAAGTTTCAGTGCATTCTTTCAAGCTCGTTTTTTTTATTTTTTTCTAGTAGTTTGCAGTAATATTCTTACAATTTACCAATTTTGTTTTTGTATTTACTCCAGTCATAAATTTTTACAATTTTTTGTTGTTGGAGAATTTATTTAAGTAAAAATTCATCTACACTTATTACATCTCTTGTTTCAGTTTTCTACTAGTTTTGAGTAATATTCTTACATTTTAGAAATTTTATTTTCGTTCTTACACCAGTCACGAATTTCTACAATTTTTTTTGTGTGGAATTTCATTAATAAAATTATTCACTACACTCTTTCAAGCTTGTTCTTTTTTCTAATTGTGTTTGACTAATATTTTTACATTTTTAGAATTTAGTTTTGTAAGAAATTTTAACAAGTTTTTTGTTGGGGAATTTCTTTAAAAAAAATTTTGACTCGTAGTCTTCCGAGCTCGTTTTTTTATTTTTTGAGTAGTTTCGAGTAATATTCTTACATTTTAGGAATTTAGTTTTCGTAGTTACACTAGTCGTAAATTTCAACAATATTTTTTGTGTGGAATTTATTAAATAAAAAAAATCATTACACTCTTTCAAGTTCACTTTTTCTTATTTTTCTATTAATTTTGACTAATAATTTGACATTTTAGGAATTTAGTTTTCGTAGTTACACCAAGTCAAAAATTTTTACAAGTTTTTTTGTTAGGGAATATTTTATTAAAAGTTTTCAGTGCACTCTTTCAAGCTCGCTATTTTATATTTTCTAGTAGTTTTTATTAATATTCTTACAATTTAGGAATTTAGTTTTTGTAGCTAAACCTAGGTCATAAATTTTTATAATTTTTTATGTGGGGGATTTTATTTAATGAAAAACTCTTGTACACTCATTAAAGCTCCTTTTATTTTTGTAGTAGTATTGAGTAATATTCTTATGTTTTACGTAATTTCTTTTTTGTAGATTCACCTGTTAGAAAATTTCTACAATTTCTTTTGTTGGGGAATTTGATTAATAAACAAATTCCTCTACACTCATGAAAGTTCATTTTTTTTTTCTACTAGTTTTGATTAATATTTTTACATTTTTGGAATATTGTTTTCTTAGTTACATAAGTCTGAAATTTCTACAACGTTTTTTGTTGGAAATTTCTTTAATAAAAATAATTGATTACACTCTTTCAACCTCAATTTTTTTTATAATTCTATTTGTTTTGACTAATAATTTTAATTTTTAGGAATTTAGTTTTCAGTAGTTAGACCAGATCGACATTTCTACGTGTTTTTTTGTTGGGGAATTCTTTTAATAAAAAGTTTCGAGTGCACTTTTTCAAGCTCGTTTTTTTATTTTTTTCTAGTAGTTTGTAGTAATATTCTTACAATTTACCGATTTTGTTTTTGTATTTACTCCAGTCAGAAATTTTTACAATTTTTTGTTGTTGGAGAATTTATTTAAGTAAAAATTCATCTACACTTATTACATATCTTGTTTCAGTTTTCTACTAGTTTTGAGTAATATTCTTACAATTTAGAAATTTTGTTTTCGTTGTTACACCAGTCACGAATTTCTGCAATTTTTTTTGTGTTGAATTTCATTAATAAAATTATTCACTACACTCTTTCAAGCTTGTTCTTTTTTCTAATTGTGTTTGACTAATATTTTTACATTTTTAGAATCTAGTTTTGTAAGAAATTTTAACAAGTTTTTTGTTGGGGAATTTCTTTAAAAAAAATTTCGACTGTAGTCTTCCAAGCTCACTTTTTTTATTTTTTGAGTAGTTTCGAGTAATATTCTTACATTTTAGGAATTTAGTTTTCGTAGTTACACTAGTCGAAATTTCAACAATATTTTTGTGTTGAATTTATTAAATAAAAAAATTCATTAAACCCTTTCAAGTTCACTTTTTCTTTTTTTTCTATTAGTTTTGACTAATAATTTTACATTTTAGGAATTTAGTTTTCGTAATTACACCAGTCAAAAATTTTTACAAGTTTTTTTGTTAGGGAATATTTTTATTAAAAGTTTTCAGTGCACTCTTTCAAGCTCGCTATTTTATATTTTCTAGTAGTTTTTAGTAATATTCTTACAATTTAGGAATTTAGTTTTTGTAGTTAAACCGGTCATAAAATTTTATAATTTTTTATGTGTGGGATTTTATTTAATGAAAAACTCTTGTACACTCATTAAAGCTCCTTTTATTTTTGTAGTAGTATTGAGTAATATTCTTATGTTTTACGAATTTCTTTTTTGTAGATTCACCTGTCAGAAAATTTCTACAATTTCTTTTGTTGGGGAATTTGATTAATAAAAAAATTCCTCTACACTCGTGAAAGCTCGTGTTTTATTTTTCTAGTAGTTTTGAGTAATATTTTTACATTTTAGGAATGTAGTTTTCTTAGTTACATAAGTCAGAAATTTCTACAACTTTTTTTTTGGGAATTTATTTAATAAAAAAAATTGATTGCACTCTTTCAAGCGCAGCTCTTTTTATAATTCTATTTGTTTTGACTAATAATTTTACATTTTAGGAATTTAGTTTTCGTAGTTAGACCAGTCAGAAATTTATACAAGTTTTTTTGTTGGGAAATTCTTTTAATAAAAAAATTTCAGTGCACTCTTTCAAGCTCGTTTTTTAATTTTTCTAGAAGTTTGTAGTAATATTCTTACAATTTACCGATTTTGTTTTTGTATTTACTCCAGGCAGAAATTTATACAATTTTTGTTTTTGGAGAATTTATTTATGTAAAAATTCCTCTACACTTATTACTACTCTTGTTTAAGTTTTCTTCTAGTTTTGAGTAATATTCTTACATTTTAGAAAATTTGTTTTTGTTGTTACACCAATCACAAATTTCTGCAATTTTTTTGTTGGGAATTTCTTTAATAAAATTATTCACTACACTTTTTCAAGCTTGTTCTTTTTTCTAATTGTGTTTAACTAATATGTTTACATTTTTAGAATTTATTTTTCGGAGTCACCCCGTAAGAAATTTTAACAAGTTTTTTTGTCGGGAAATTTTTTTAATAAAAATTTCGACGTAGTCTTCCGAGCTCGCTTTTTTTATTTTTTGAATAGTTTTGAATAATATTCTTACATTTTAAGAATTTAGTTTTCGTAGTTACACTACTCGGAAATTTCAAAAAAAAATTTGTGTAGAATTTTTTTAATAAAAAGAATCATTACACCATTTCAAGTTCACTTTTTCTTATTTTTATATTTGTTTTAACGAATAATTTTACATTTTAGGAATTTAGTTTTCGTAGTTACACCAGTAAAAAATTTGACAATTTATTTTGTTAGGGAAT